CCTGATTATCATGGTGGAATATTTTTTAATTTTCTGAACATTTGAATTTTTTATGTTTGTAAAACTAATAAAAAAATAAAAATCTTAAAGGATTAAACCCACATTTTGAGCCACCTGTGTATTTCCCCGTACCTGACAGTGTTTGGTTTAAAGATGGTGTGCTCCTGCTGGTCCGAGCTCTCTGCCTGCAGCGCGTCCTCCAGTAGTCTAGAAATGACCTCCCGAGCCGGGCTCTGCTCCGACGACGAACACACGGGCGTCCGGACTTCCTGAAGCAGCACCAAATATTTACTCTCCACTTGACACAGCTTGGCCTCCAGAGCTGTGCACTGCAACGATGACAGGAGACAGGAAAAGTAAAGATTGGTTTTGTTTTTCCATACTTTTAGGGTTATAAAGTCGATACTGTAATTGAAATAAAACCAACTTGCTGTACTTTCTTTTACCTAGTTTAATGCTTTAACTAAACATGAGACAGTACCTTTGCCTCTAAAGCTTTTTCTCTCATCTCTGCGTTTCTTCGCAGCACCGTCAGCTCCAGGATTTCTTTGTTCAGGAATTTGTTCTGGGATTTGTATCCTTGAAGACTGTCCTGTTAAAGACAACACACAGACAACAAACCATCAATATATTATGGATCAAACAAAACGTAAACATGTCTTATAAAAAATAGAAACTGACAAACAACAGTGCGAATATCTAGAAAAAGTTAAAAAATAAAATTCAACCAGGATAACTGAGATGCATCAGGACAAAGAGGGAATACATATTTTGTGCCATTTTAGCCTTTCATATAGCAAAATGCTAAGTATATTCTAAAAGTGGGTGACATGATTTTTTGTTTATTACTTATTATTTATTACTTATATAATACTTATAAAATAAGTATTTGATTTAAAAATATTTTTATCAACTCCTTCAAAAACATTGTTCCTTTTGAAATCTGCCTCAGCAAACCTGCTCTAGCTTTGCCTTCACTACTTCAGCTTTTAGCTCATCTTTTGCTACTTTAAAGACCTAACTAGCCTTCTACTCTTTTTAGCTTTTAAATTCATTTTTTGCAGCGTTTACTCATTAGCTTCCTTCTGGGKTTTTTTTTGCTTTTAACTAGTCAATACTTTTAGCTAGCATTCTGCTAATCACTTTATGCTTCTTTTAGCATTTAGGTAGCCTTTTGCTACTTTCAGTTTTCAGTCTGCTTCTTTCATTCTGAGCTTTTAGCTATCTTTTTTTAGCTTGTAGCTATTATTCTGCATAGTTTATAAGTAGTTCTCTGTTACTTTTAAGCTAGGTTTGTAGCTGATGTGTTGAACACAGCACGAGGATAAACGCTGTAACAGTGATGCAATCACGTCACCCCCGCCTCGGTGGCCCTGCTCGGTGTCGCAGCACGTGGTTGTGCAACTCCAAATGTTTGCAACTCTGCACAGGCTGCGAGTGCCACGCACCATTCAAATACTTTTTGTCCTTTTGCACACTATTTCACAATGTATAATGTGTACTTTCAGAGAATACAACTATGTGTCAAATATAAACACCTACACTGCTTGTGAGGGTGCACACCCTCTCGGCCGAGCSCACAAAAGCACGACTAACCAAGCTTTTAGATTTAGCCAACTTTTACTTTTACTACTTCTAGCTATTAGCTGCTTGATACATTTTAACCAGCCTTTAGGCTACAATAAAAAACAGGTTTTTATTACCTTTTGCCTCTTTTAGCTAACCTTTTGACACTTTAATTTTTAGCTAGTAATTGGCTTCTTTTAGCTTTGCAACTCAAGTTCAGCTTATTTCAGCAAAGTTGTTCATGTTGCATTCTCACAGAACTGTTTCTGTCTCTTTAAGGTTGTAGTGTTTGTTTCTGCACCTTGAGGACATCCAGCTCCTGCTGCTCCTTGTGCGGACCGGGTGAACCTGCATCGTTTGGGTTTCCGCCCTGCTCGTCGCTCTGCTGCGACAGCTTCACGATGACGTCGTCCTTTGCCTGGATGGTCTCCATCAGCATCCCCAGCTGGTCGTTCATTTCCCCCACCTTGATTTTCAGGGCTTTCAGCTCCTTCTGCAGGCTCTCCTTCTCCAGGGACAAACGCTCCATGTGGCCACACAGGGACGGAATCTGGACGTCTCTCTCCTGGAGCAGCGCCTCCAGTTGAGTCACGTCCTCCTGGGTCACAGCTGGAGTCGGGTTCTGGTCTGAGGGTGAGGAGGGGGGTGGAGGTGGTCGGTGCACTGCGGGTCGGTCGCACTGGGAGGTTCGTAGAGTCTGCTGCAGAAGTCTCACCAGTTCCTACACAGCAAAATAAAAACACATTCTCTTCAGAAAACAAGAATTTATTTTTAGTTAGTAGATAAGAGAAAACAAACTACCGTAGAAAATAATACTCACAAAATCTAATACCAGCTTATGAGGTTGATGGTTCTGTTCAAACCTTTTCTCTGTAAGTCGGTCTTAAGTTCACATCAGTACATGAATGCATCATGAAACTTTCAAATTCTTTTTATGGTTAATAAGGGATGAACTGATACCGATACCAGTATCGGGTATCGGTCCGATACCATGTGCGTTAACTCGTACTCGTACTTGTAAAAGTGCTCCGATACTACAGGACCCGATACCAGCTTCATTTCACTCAGTTTGTGCATAGACGCTCTAAACCAGCAGGCGGCGGAATCGCGCAACAGACTTAATGCCAGCCGCATAAAAAAACAGAAGAAGAAGACAACGACCACGTTAGCCGAGCTGAACAAACTTTAACAAGCAAGCAGTTTGTAGAGAAGGCGTTATGTCAGCGGTGTGGAGGTATTTTCAGGTGACAGTAGTAAGACGTCATCCCTGCTGTGACCGTGCTTCTGAGACTCCTAAACAAAGACACTGGTGAAGATCACAGGATCAAAACAATGAAGTCCACTTTGGCTGCAGCTGTCGAGAGGCGCTTCACTGATGCTGAGAAAAAACCCTCTACTGCATCTCAACTGTACTGGATCCAAGGTAAATTAAATAAATAAAAATGATTAAAAAATAATAATATAAGCCTTGATTTTCCTAAAATTTTTATTTTATTTTTATAAGCGTTTATTTGCCAAGTAATCTGATGGAGGAAAAATCATTATGACCAAGCTACAACATGT